GGGGTGGCAGACATGTGTTAAGTGAAAGGAGCCACACGGAACAGGATTCCACTCGTGAACTGATGACATGTCCAGAGCAGGCGTATCTATAGGGACAGAAAGGGCAGACTGTGGTGGTCAGGGGCTGCAGGGACGGGGGAGTTGGTGCCGGAGTTGTTCTTGGGGACGATGAAAATATTCTGGAATTAGATGGTGGTGATGGTTGCACAGTTCTGTGAATATACTTAAAACCGCTGAACTGTACACTTCAACAGGATGAAATTCGTGGCATGTGAATCATATCTCAATTTTTCTCATAAAGGGAACCCCCATAGACCTGAGTCATCAGGCCACTGCGGGCGGCCCGGGCACCCTCCCACCTGCCGGTGGCTGGGGTGCTCGGGGAGGGGGGGCTCTCCCTGCCTCTGAGCCAGCAAGGAGACTGGCCTTTCCCCCAGGGCTGGATATTTATCAGATAATTGGCATATTGGAAGCTCTTACCCAACTGCTAAGGACTAACATTATCATCATTAGTAACAAGAATGCCGAATGCTCTTTATTAAGGAGGCTTTTATTCAAAAGGCTTCATTTTTCAGCCCATTCTTCTGTTGATTTTTTACAGAAAACCTTTCTGAACGGATGTGTTTTTGCTAATGTTTTCATCTGATTAATCTCCTAAGCCTTTTCATGGCTGTGTTTCTTCTCGGTAATCCTCTGGTGGGAAGCCTCATAAGCAGCTTCCCCGAGCAGGGAATGCAGATTACGTTCCAGGTGGCCGAGCTGGGCACAGGGGCCGAGTGCCCCCCCATGCTAGGGCAGCGCCTCTCTGCCCGCCCACCCCTTCCAGGTGCCAGAGAAGGGGGCCTTGCTGGGGACAGAATGGCGATGGATTAAGTCATTTTACAGGAAGACGAATAACCAGGGAGAGGAAAGCAGACCAGGAGGGTCTCCTGCTCGCGCCTCCGGAAAGGCGAGCTGTTCAGGCTCCTGGGGCACCGCGTCCCCGGATGGCCGGATGGCCGTTCTCTGCGGCTGGTCCCCGGCCCGGGCCTCG